CAGTCGTGTATAGTTTTAATTATCAACTAGTAACGTGCATGGCGCCATTGGTATGAGAAAGTGAGGTTAGAGAAATGCGAACAATAACCGCATACGCGAGAAATAATTTTAAATATTAGAGAAGAATAATCGTCGCCGGTATTAATTATTTATGGTTGCTTAGAAAACAAAACAAGACAAAACGGAACAAAAAAAAAATCATTCTGTATTTGGATTTAATGTACGCCGATATATCACATAGCAAATGTATGTAGATTGTGCAAAATTGGAATAAAATTGATCGTTCGGTTGGAGCTCGATATAAGCGGAACAATTGGTAAAGTACTAAACTTAAACGAGGTTTCGAGTGTACTGTGTCACTAGATTGATCGGCCAAAAATTGTTTTCTTAATTAATGTACCTACTGCAAAGTCAACTCCAATAATAATAATAAATATATAATTATACCATTTTTTTCAATCCCTAGCGTTATTATATTTAAACCACCACCACCGTTCCTCCTCCTCCTCCTCCTTCTCCTCCTCCATTTCCCTTCCCCCAATTGTAAAGAGAAGAATTGACCAAATTTTTTATAAATTAAATATATTAAATACATTTTGAGAATGCATAGAAATTTTTTGTTAATATTTCAGACTAAAGACCATAAACATACTCAATATTAAGTTTTTTCATTATACATTATTTATACATTAAATATATAACTAAATAAATTTTTATAAACTTATTTTATAGTTAAAATTTTAAAACAAAAATAATTTATTTTTTTACTTTTATTGCTCGAACTGGTAATAATAAAAAAAAAATTTATCAAGCAATTTAGTATTGTATTTTAATTTTTTAAAAACATTTTACATTGATCTTATGAAAAGTTCCTTGTTTATTATTAGTGGTTATGCATGCATTTTCTATTTAGATAATTATAGTTCATTTAATTGTAAAATAATTAATTTTATAAGCGATTCTTATTGTAATTTTTTAGACAAAGGGTTCGTTCGTTGGGTCTGAGTAGTACTAAATGGTTGCCTGCAGACAGCATGTCTACTCTGTCAGGGATTGTGTCGAAGGGGGAGAAAGGAAAAACAAAATACCAGTCGATAGATATCAATAGTTTGTATCGATCAAGTAGGGTAAGCAAATGATTATTATAATTTAAATTCCAAATCATCTAGTATTTATAAATATTAAGGATGAATGAAAAAATGATTTAGGGAGAGTCTTTGGAACAACATCAACAAAAAAATACAGTACCCCGCAAACATGGAATGCAAAGCTTGGGAAAGGTGCCCTCGGCGCGGCGACCACCTGCAAATTTGCCCAGTTTGAGAAGTGAAATCAGCAGCAGTGATCCAGCTGTTAGTCTTGTACCAAGTGGAGGAAGTGGTTGGGCCACGACCAAGGATACAACATCTACTACTAATACCGTAACAACACCTAACACCCCATCTGATAATACAACTGTGAGTTTACAGAATGTATTATAATTAAATTTTAAATGCCTTCAGTGATACTATATCAATCAGTTTAAAGTTTATTTCACACGACAAAGTACCTTATATTACAACTTGTATTTATCTACATCAGCAGTAGTTTAAAATACATAATATAATTAAATTAAATATTCAATATTTTTATGAATAATGCAATTACTTTTTTAATTATAACAGACCAACTCATTACCGGCACAATGTACGACAGGACCCACCCCTGCATCTCTGGCACCACAACAACATCCACCATTGCCAGGACAACAAAACAATTTACAATCTTCACATCCACCCGAAGTAGGAAACAAATCATCATGGAGTTCAATCATGAGCAAACCAGGAGAAGCTGGTAAGTTAACATTATTCCATATTCTTAACCAAATACTCTAACATACATAATTTGACAGAAATATCAGACTCGATAAATTGTATTATATGGTTATTTCAAACATATGTACGCTATTGCCTCGTACTACTTTCAGCTTGGTCAAAATGGAGTTCAATTTATATGCAGTTATACGACAATGTAATTTAATGCTAACAGTAGCATTCCCAGCACAATAATAGAAAATTACTTTTTTTTCTTCTTTTTTTTTTTAATCCGCTAGTACTTTGTAATTAATAAATTCAATAGGTAGGAAAGAATTTCTTTTTTATATCCCATTAGTTAATATGTGTATAAATAATTGGGGCTCTATGACAATGAAAGAGTAAAATTGTTTATACAGTGATGAATTGACATATTGAGTTACGACAATATGTCAATAGGTTTATTATAAAAGTGGTGTGAAATATCTACGTAAGATCGTATAAGTATTAATGAATAGAGCGTTGACATAAATGTAAAATAAAAGCTAATTAAATCAATGGGAAAACGATTGGTAATAATTCTATGGGCCAGAATTTTGAAAGTGTGTGCGAACTGGAAAAGCTTGCTGGGCGAATCTTTGTCTGGTCTGACCGATAAATGTATATATATTCAATGCTGTATGGCTGCAGTGATTGGTTATGCGGGGCTTGTGGAGTCGGGCAGAGGAGTAAGGGGAACTCTCGGTCTGAGTTTCCTTGCACATCAGTCCCCGCAGTTCCAACACGAATTCCCCAGTCTCAGCGGACAATCCTCTGCTTCAGTCTCGACTCAGAACCAGGGTCAGCAGCAAATTTCCTCGTCGGCTGCAAATGCGATTACAAACACTGTGCAGCAACAATCTTATTCCCACAACCACTCAGGTGCGCTGCTCTGCTTGCCGCCGTGTAGTTGTGATTAGATAGACACATGTATACATAGTTTTCATGGTTGTATTTATATATATATATATATATGTATATATATATATATATATATATATATATATATATATATATAGGCACATATATACATACACATTATCTTGATACTTTCATAAAATGACGGTCATTGTGTTTTTTAAAACCCACCACCCCAGTCTGTCGTTGCTGCGTTTCCTTTTTCATTGTTTTGAATCTTGCGCACACCTCTTAGTGTTCAATATTTAAAAATGTAAAGTGCTTGCAGAATAGTCTCACAAGAAAATGAAGAATGTATTTACATGTTAAACCGTTTGAAATCTAGAAAATATGAACACCTCATTCTTTGGATGCAGCGACACTTCTTTTTTTCTTCATGGTTTTTGTTTCTGTTTTTTTGCATATGAACAAGATTTTGAAAGTATATAATTTTTCTTGTTATTACGATAAAAATCTAAATAATTCTCCAGCAATTTTCCTTTTATTTTATTTATACGTGTTTTTAGTGGTTGTAGATGCCTATGTATATAGTATTTTTCTTAAATTGTAGTAATTAAAAATGTATTATTAGTTTCCGAATTAAGCTCCTATAACTTAAAGCTTTTATAGTGTTCTGGTTAATGCATCTATCGTTTTCATAGTAAAACTATATATAAATTATATATTATATAATTATATATATAAATTATATATATATATTATAAATAATTGTTTTTCTTTTTTGATCGTATATGTATATATATTTATTTATATGAACCGAGTTCGAACTTAATAATGCACCATCGTTCAGTGTGATTGATAAGTGTTGTGTTCACTGTGATTTTTTATGAATTGATAACTTTTCCATAATAACAAATATATTTATATTTTGTTATTATATTATAAAAACAATTGTTTCGATGTAATGAGCAATTCATTTGCATTGTGTCACTTAGGAGGTGGACCGACAGGTCAACAACAGCCACAACAAATTCGAGAAATGAACGCACAATATGGTCCTGGGCTAAGTCTACGTCCCCAAAGTAAGCTTAAATATATTGGTCATCGTTTAATTGTTCACCGAGATATTTTGTCGATTATTATTAAAACTTAAATAAGTTTTTTTTTTAATTGCCAACGTTAATATGTTTTTGTAGGTATTCGTTTTTAAAATTAAAATTAACTGTTTGAGAAATAATGGGAGCCGACGACAATCATCGATCATGACGTAAAGCCAAAGCAAACTTGTTATTGCGTCCATCTATTTAATATTTCAAAATATAACATAATAAAATACAATTTCTCGGTTAAAACTTTATTTAAAAAAAAAATTTAAATAAAGAAAAACCGATACTTAAAGTGTATTTTAAACACATAGCTAAATAGGGTTATTTATAAATTCGTAAATTTATATGCAAATTATATTTTCATACATATTATTTTCAAGTATTTATTTATAATTACATACGCATAATAAGAATTATTAGTTACTATTTTACGATCAATAATCGATATGACAAGCGATGTAATAATAAAAATAGGTTTTGTATGTTAAAAAACTATAGCTTTTTCTTTTTTACTTTTTATTTTTAAAAAGTTGCATCAGAAATCATATTTATGCAGTGATTGGATATTATCGATTTATATATTATCTTTAAAATATAATGTTAGTCGTTCTGGTACTGGGCAATGCATTCATCAAATTATAATCCCCTAGAATAGCCAATATATTATTTTATTTAAAGAAATATATTTGCTATATGTTAATTCCATCTATTGATCCGTCTCTGTTGTGATGTTTGTGTACAGTAAATTGTTTAATGCTTTTCCATATAAATATAATTATTTGAAAATTAATTATTAAAGTGATTTAACATTAAAAATAAATTCTTAAAAAAAATGTATTATATCGCTTAAAGAATTTAAATAACGTTTGAATATTTTATATTCTGGTTATAAAATTGTCACAATACCTAATGCTTTAAAAACAGTATTATTAGATTATTAGTTTCTTTTTAAATCCGCTTTGGTTGTCGATTATTAAAATAAACATCCTCTCGATAATTTTTTTAATATTTAAGTGAGTTTGCAAGGAAGCACATGTTAACATTTATATTCAATCAGTACTTACAGTACTTCATTTTATCAACAATATACAACAAACCAGATTACACATTATTTTGAATAATTTTTAGATAACATTTATTAATAATAAAAATAATGCTATTTTTTGTTTATTTTTATCAGATTTACCTAAATTTCACAAAATTTATTTAAAAAATTGTCTCTCAATTAATAGTCAATCGATTCCTTTTGTATAATGATACTGTAGGCCAGCAAGAACAGTACGTTTACATGCCAATAATTGATTAAAAAACAATGTAAAAATATTTTACTATTTGTTCTGGAGCTCTAGAAAAAGAATACATTACTTATTTGGTAACGTACGTGTTACAATACGTTGACGTTGTCGAGAATGAGCTCGTCACTTATGGAGTCTGTGTTTTTGTGAGCGCAGCAGAAGGAAGTTGGATCCAAGGTGGAAGTCGCATAGCAGGTGGGCCAGGAACCGGGGCACTAGCAGGAGTGGCCGGAAGTGGAAATATTCAGGGGGGCCCGGGCCTCCAAGTTGGCCCAACCCCAGGACAAGTAGAGGCTCCCGCTGGAGGACGACCGAACTCGGTCCAGTCGCCAGGCTTGGTCATGGCCCCGGCAGGCCAGCTCCCAGGATCGCAAAATAATCAAGTCCAGATGCCACAGGGCCAACATCAAGTCGGACCGAATATGCATCACTATAGAGGAATAATTCCTCCGTTTGTAAGTAGAATATTTATTTGAGATTTAAATCTTGTTGTAGCTCCTCCGATTCTCGAAACGTTCTGTAAAAATAAAGCGATCGATTCAGTGTTATTACTTACGGACAGAAACATGAGCAACCTGAAGCACATTGAAATGGTTTTTCTGTTTTCTTTTTCAATGATTTTTAGCAATGAACGTTTAAAAACAAAACCGATTTTAATATTGTTAAAGCAAATATTGAATCAACTATTTTAAAATAAATGATTAACCTCATCCAGCTCTCTCTTTAATGAGAATTTAAAATTAAAATTGTAAATAATTATTTCAATAGTGGGCTAGACATGATAAGAAGGTTACACTTGTACAATAGAAGGTTACACAATACTTGTCACACAATAAATGTAAGGGAAACAAGTTAGTTTGAAACGCTAATTTAACGTTAGTTTGAATAAGAGGTGAAATAGTTTATGGTTAATATTTTACGGACACATAAATTAATATAATGAACGTTTTATCAGAATAGACACGTACTTCAATAAAAAAACGTATCAATTGATTAAAAGATATGCTTAAATTAAGAATCATAAAATATATGTTATAATGGTTTATAATATTGCTTAAGATAGAATTTACTGTATTCTGTAGAATTACCGGAATATATCTAAATTTAATTTTACAACCTTACAAAAATTCATTATATTAACTGTATTTTAAGTATTTAATTATGTTCAAATTCACGGATTCGCTATCTTTATAAACGTAGCATTGTTAAAAAATTTACTTAAAATCTTATTACTTAAAATTATACTTTATACTTTAAATTAAATAATAGATTGCATGTTTTCGAAAAATGTTCTCTGATTTTATATTATTAATTAAATCAATGAATTTTAAATATTATATTAATAAATATATGGGAAATTTCTTTTTATTTTATCTATCAGTTTTATTTATTACATTGAGAAACATATATTGAAAAAATATTCTTATAAAATATTTATATTTAGAATAAAAACTTATTATAAATTACCTCAATGGGAATCGGATGTAGCATTGGAACTAGAGCAGGATAAGGTTGCTGTGCATGATGAACTTCAGGGTATGGAATTTTAAATTCCACATCCTTATAAACTGGATATCCTATAAAATATGATTTTCATTATGTTTCCCAACAACAATATATAATTTCATTATATATACTATCAATGGTTATTTGACTAACCTATGTTTTCAATAAATTAATTTAAGTTTTAAAAACTTCAAAGCAATAATCACGGATTCAAATTGCAAATGAATGTACAGAACTTAAAAGTTATTAATTACAAATTAATAATTTAAATGTATAAACTTATGCTATTTATGATAAAGAAAATTATAAAAATTTATAAGATGTCTAATATTTAAATAAACAAGTTGTTAATAATTTGGAAATTAATGATTTGTTTAGTAGTAGTTACAAATATATATATATATATATATATATATATATATATATTCAATGAGTAAACTATGAATGCTATTAGTGGAATAGAATATTTTTATTAAAAATATAAGTGTGTGCAATATCCTTTTGGATTTTAACAATGAAAAACTTGCATAAACAAGCATTTAATGCAATAAAATAAATTGTTTTTATGTTTGTCGCAGATGTATAAAGGTAATTTCTCAGGCGGCAATTTTCCGGCGCCGTTGCCGGCAAGTGGACAGCGTCCCCGCTTCAACTACCCGACAGATCAATCGCCGGCACGACAGCAGCCACGCCAAGAACGCGATCGTGGTGTACCGCCACCGCCCGTTGACGAGGAAATTCAAACGCGGCCGATTATTAAAGAAGAGGACTTGTCACGCATGGATGAAATCTCATGCGAGGCTGGCTGGACGGCTACCGATGACATTGACTATAATCAGAAATTGGCCTTTAGCGACGATGAGACTGACGACCAGCCGCAACAAACGACTGCCATCAATAAAAAGGAAGACCACAGAAAGGAGCAGGAGAAACATGCGCAAGATGAGAAGCGCATGCAAGAGGAGAAAGAGTTTAGTTCGAGGGAGAAGGAGCAGAAGGAAAATAATATAAATATTATTGGAAGGAATGAAATGAGGAACGAGTCCAGAAACGAGCCCAGAAACGAGCCCAGAAACGAGCCCAGAAACGAGCCGAGGAACGAACCTAGGAACGATTTGCAATCGCGTTCATGGAACAACCAGAATTCAATGTCGCGCGATTACCGTGGTCCACCTGGAGCACCACCACCTAACTACCCATCACAACAGACATTACGAAATGCCCACTCTTTAAGAGGTAATTTCACATTAAGACGAGTTTCTTTTTTTTTTTATTTTATTTTATTTTTTATCCACTTGGAATTAATTTTGTCATCATTGAGTTTTGCTTCGGTATACCGAGACTGCGATTAATTACAGTAACGAATTGCATTATAAGCATGTATCATTTTATTTTCTTTATCTTTAAGCTGGTGGAGATGATGAGGAACTGTGGAATCAGCGTCGTCGAGACATAATCACCGAGAAAGTTGCGTTTGCAGTTGAACTCGCTCGTCAACGCAAGGAGGAGGAAGAGAAGCGTTTCCAAGAATCGATAAAGCAGGCAGCGGCTAAAAAGCTCCTTGATCTAGAGAATAAGATAAAGGAGAAGAACAAGCAGGGCGAGGAGCAGCAGCAGCAGCAGCAGCAACAACAACAACAACAACAGCAGCAGCAGCAACAGCAACAACAGCAGCAGCAACCGCAACAGCAACAGCTACAGCAGCAACAACAACAGCAACAGCAACCGCAACAGCAACAGCTACAGCAGCAGCTACAGCAGAGTAGTGGCCAGCAACTAAACGAAAGCAATAAATCAAGCTCTTCGGCTCCAGTACCAGTGTCGAACGCGCCAAGCGCGCCCGACTGGGAACGTGATCGCGAGCGCTCGCGTACCTCGTCTTCCGAGGGTGCCGGCAAAGAGGCGGAGCCCAAGTCCGGCCGCGAGCAATCGTCCACAGGTCAACAGGCGACAAGTGAGTTCCGCCAGATAGACCGTCCTTCTTTCATACGCCAACAACAGCAGACCGCGGAGCAGCCGCCTTCTTCTCTGCCCCCCGGCGGCGGCAGTAGCGGTGGTGGCGGCGGCGGTGGCAGTAGCAGTGGCGGCGGCGCGGCTAATAATCGCAGTGAACGCGATCGTGAGCGCGAGCGCGATCGCGATCAGCGGGAGATGAGGGAGCCGGCCTTTTCCCGGCTCTTTCAAAGCAACTTGCCGCCAAGATTCCAAAAGCAGCAGGCGGAGAGAAGCGGCGCCGGTGCAGGTGGGGCTTCTAATAATCGGCTGTCCCCCAGTGCCGAACGCTCGCAGCCAGTTTCATTTTCGCAGCAATACGATCCCAGTCGATGGGTCCATAACCATTCTAACTCATTGAGTACGTGACATTTAGCGATTTAAGTCTAGCTCATTGTCTTTAACTATTATTGTTCTATTGTTTTTCTTTTCAATTTTTATTCATGTTCTTTCCTACTTGCCAGGAAAATCCGTCAGCACTCATGTTTTAATTTCCTTACTTTTAGGTATTGCTTTCTCTTTAATTTGATTCATTTCTTGCTTGATATCTTAGTTACGACACAATTAATGAAGATCCTTCACTTAGTTTAACTTTGTGGTTTGTGTAATTTTTTTAAGACGATTGTTTACATACTTAGAAAGTACATATGTGTATATAGACGGACTTGTATAATTACCAATCCTCAGTATGCTATTGATGCTGCTACACACTACTCTTTCTTCTAAGGTTTGCAACACTCAATGAATGTATTTCTTAGATTTGTATATAATTTGCTTAGAATTGAATTGGCTGCTAAAATCGAAATTTAAAAACGATACATTAAATCGTTATTAATATTTTAAGGAGTTTGAGTACCGACTGCGTACAAATTAAATTTTAAATTATTTAATATATATGCCACATGCTTTTATCAAATTTCAAAGAAAATACCTGTACCAAGGAAAAGCGTCACGTTTCTAATAAGCAGTCGGTAGTCGGAGATCCTAAGGCACACTATCATCACCCTATACCAAGCTCGGATAAAGCGAATTCTTTTATTATTATTGACCACGTTATTATTTTCCATTTTTTCAAAACAAAAAAAAAACAAAAAAAAAAACAAACAAACAACATAGGCAGCAGCATGAAGTCGAGCACGCGTCGCGTACGGGCCGACTCGGATGTGTCCGGACCACTCGATGACGAGGGCAATGGGAGACCAAATTCGCGGGCCCCGCCGTCTGTGCGCCCCGACGATCGTCACCGACACTCTGGGCAACGGGCCGGTAGCAACTACGAGCCGAGTCGCAAACAAATTTCCGACGCCGGCTACTATGACGAATATCCTCGCAGAGGAAGCGAGCGCTACAAGGATTACGAGGACAGACACGCACCAAGTAGAGATGGAGTCGGTAGCTGGTCCGATCACACGGAGCGCAGAGGATACGAAGACAAGCCTGATGCTAGGGAGTCGAGAGACAAAAAGGACTACGACAACTACTCCAAGGTGAGCCGAACAATGCTTAACATTCTGTTTGAATGCAATCGACGTGCCCTAGTGCTTCCCGGACCTATGCACGTATTGTAACTTATCACGCTCGATTATTTTATCCAATGATCAATAGTAATATTTAAGTTAATGGTTTAAGATTGAATTTCGTTAATGAAGAAGACGAGCAGAGTCCTATTTCATATTGTTTTAAATTTCATCAATTTTTAATATATATAAGAACAATTTATAAAACATTTTTAAATGAAAATTGATAAAATTGAATATTGCATGAAAACTATCGTGTTATTGACATTTAAATGTTGGATGACGCCGATGTAACTAATATTTCATAATATATTTTATGCCAAATATTAAATCGCATTTTTGTGTATGATTATTAGAATTTTATTTTATATTACATAAAAGTAACGTTTCGTCATTCATTTATTAGATATAAATTTTTAAATGATTCGTGTTATCTATTATTATTATGAAATTTTATTCAAATGAATGTCATAAAAAAAAAATAAAAAAAAAATGGTCAAATAATAACAAATATTTTTATATATTTTTGTTTAAATGACAGGTATTCATGTTATTATGTTAAAAATTCTTTTAATAAAACATAATAATAAGTAAATCTATCGAGAAATCTGACTATATGGCGCATGTTAATTAACCGAACTTTTTAGAAGCACCGGGTAGCCGAGAAATCGATTTATTTCCTTTACTATATTTTAGTAAATCAAGCTGTAATTGAGTTCAGTGCCGTTTAGTTTATTTTGAAATTAAAATTCTTTGCTTTTGCAGAAAAAGAAGTGAAAGTGCGGGTGCTTGCGCACTTCATGTTATATCTAAGGTCTTCAATCCGTTTTTTTTCTTCGTAATGGTGCTTTTCATTTATCCTATCGTTAAAAATTTTTAATAGAAGCTCGACGTAGACATAAATTGTACATTATAACGCTTCAGAACTCAAACAAATGTATGAAAAAAACATGTTACCAATTCTTAAAATCGTAGCATAAAATTTTAATTGTAAAATGAAGAAATTCCTATTTTTTATCACCAATTTTATAATTTTATTCCTATTGTGTCGTGTAATATGCATTCAAAAAAAAAAATTTATTTCAAATTTTGGATTTTAAATAAATTGTAAACATTATAGAATTGTTCTAATATTGTATTTTTTAACACAACATTAAAGATGAGGCATTGCATGAATGATTATAAGTCATGAGAAAAAATCACAAAGTTACTAATATTTTTTTTTTTTTTTTTCTATGTACACGTATCTGTTACTAGTTGATACACAACAAATTTACCTAACTACATTTAAAATATTGATTTACTCTGAATAATAAAGTATATCTTTCGCTCGTTTTGTATCTGAACGTACTTAACTCAACAACATATTCCAGTTTTTCTAGTTTTATTTCTGAATCGTCTTTGGAACAAAAAAATTATCATATAATAGTATGTAATTAATTTAAAGAAACAAGGATAAATAAAAAATGAGAGACTAACTACAAAACCCCCCCCCCCCCCCGCATTCTTTGTAGACCTTAAAGATCAACTTTTAGTTTAACTTGGTTAAAGTAATCGGTTGAGTAGTCCTTGATATCATAATGGAATCCTTCGATGGTTGTTTTATAATTCTAACTTTAGTTGTTGAATGCGTCATAATAACGGTTAAAAGATTGTCTCCATAGCAGATTTGAAAAATAAATAAACATTTTTCTACAAAATATAGATACTTTAAAACTATAACTAGTTAAGATTATCAAGTACAATTAGTTAAAGTTAATAATAACTTTAACTAAATCTTGTGCAGGCTAATCGGAAATAAATATCTTTCTCAACTTATCCTAATATCAATATTAATATTGTTTTATTTTTATACGGTAATTGTTTATCAATCACTTCGACTAATATGAATAATTGCATTTAATAAGCAGATATATACTTCTCTCTTATAAAATAAAGTAAAATATATTTTGAAATTTTTAGTGTGTTATGACATTATGACATTATAGTTTATTTTATCATTCGTAAAAAAAATAAAGGGCAAAAGTAATATTGACTGGCACTAATGTTTAAAAAAACTAATTTGCTTTTATGTATTTTTATTATGCCGAGCATAATTAACCTACATTTGTGTAGATCAATTATCGATCACGTGACGTTTTATTGTAAACAATAGAATACTGCAGTCTCTAACTTACTTATTTATTATTTAGAAAAAATGAATACGTCTTTATATTATAAATATTACCTTATTTACTATATTATGATCTGAGTATCCAAAATTACAACTGCATATCGAAAGAGCCATTATCGACTGAATATAATCATTTTACACATAAATGAGCAAAGCGTCCAAATAAATGAGAGACTAATATAATGGAAAAAAAAATGTGAATCATTCGATTAAAATGCTGTGATGTCTTGATTTAGGGCCCTGCTGCCCAGGACCAGTTTGACGATCAGCAGGCACCCGTTCAGCAGCATGGCCGCGACAGTACCAACAGTCGCTCAGAGTCGAGCGGTCAGGAGTGGCGGGAGGATCGCCGCGATATTCGTACCCACGAGGATCGCTCGGTGCCTTCTACCAACGATATGGGTGGACGGCGCGGAGATGAACAGCAGCGTAGCGAGCGACCCCAACGCCCAGAATCCCGCGACAGTCGCACATCCCGCGATTCGAGGACCACGCTTCGTGGCCCCGTCGACGACGACGGCGGTGGTGGCGGCGGCGGCGGCGGCGGCGGTGGTGGTGGTGGCAGTACTGTCAGTTTCCATAAGTCGTCGCGTGACAATGGCACTGGCTCCTGGGCCGTATGTAACGATTTCCCCGACTACGAGGAGAAAAGCAGCAAGCAGCTGCATCAACGCGACCTGTTTCGCGATGAGTTAAGGGATAGGGAGCGTGATAGAGACCGAGACAGGGATCGCGACGTGCCGTCATCAGTGCGCGACAGACGTCAACAACAGCCTGGTCCGATTAACAAGGAAAAGCTCGAACAGGAGGAGCTCAAACGTAATCTCGGACCCTTGAAGCGTGGTGGACTCGACATCCAGGACAAGAAGGATAAGCAACCGAAGGGCAGCGGCGAGCTCTTGTCTAACGATCCTAAGAAAGAAAACGGCGCTGAGGTGTGGAGTCGCGGTAAGTCCGAACGAATTCTCGAAAGCGGAGGCCGCAATTCGCCCAAAGTAGGATCCTGGGCCGACGCGGTTTCACCCAGCTTCGAGAAGGAAGATGAGGAGAAGCGCATGATGGATTCGCAGCACAATAACGATGAGGATGACAACAAGAAACTCAACGATCTCAAGCAGGGCATCGATAAGCTCAGTATAGACAGCAACAAACGCGGTAGTAGTGACGATGCTGAGAAAGACGATCAGAAGGATGAGAAACGCGATAAAAAGCCGCGTAATCGTGCGAGTAGTAGCAGCTCCCGCGGGCCCCGCAGTGGTTCTCGTCAGTGGGGCAGCGGTGGCGGCGGGGGTGGTTTAGGCGGAGCAGGTGTCGGTGGCGGTGCTTTTAATGTTTACGGACAGCGATGGCGCGGTGCCGACGTACCTGCGAGAGGTCGTCGTAGCGGTGCTCCGAGATCCGTGGGGGGAGGCCGTCCCGGATCGGCTAAAGGCGGAGCTTACGAGCGCACCGATTCCGAGCTGAGCGGCGATGAGCTTGGGCATACCCTGGCTGCAGAGTCCACCAAAGACGAGCGAAGGTCCACGTCGGCGCGATCGCCAAAGCCGTCGGTTCCGAAGGGCGAGAAGGACGAGCGCAACCGCAATGTCGCTTCAAGGAAAGACGAGCAGCAACAACAGCAGCAACAACAGCAGCAGCAGCAGCCGCAGCAGCAGCAGCAGCAGCAGCAGCAGCAGCAGCAGCAGCAGCAGTTGCAAAGTTCGCGAGGGGAGTACAGTCAGTCTCGTGGTGAGAAAAGGTGCGAGCGCGGTGAGTACGAGGTGCGCGGTAGTGGAAGACCGAATCGCGAAGGCTTTGCACCATCCGGTGAGCCATCTCGCCGTGGACGCGGTGGGTTTCGCAACAATCGAGGACCTACCACCGTCACAGGCAGCGCCGCTGGTGGGCGCATGGAAGGCTACGGGCCCCCCCCAAGTAAGAGTCCCTTTTCCTCCGAAAGAGCCGACGACAAACATCCCGGTGGCAGCCAAAATCAACAACACTCCTCCACGCCAAGCCCATCCGAGCACGATGATGCTCCCAACGTGGCCAATCAGTCCGAGTTGTCCGACGACAAAATTATAGCCAAACAGCAAGCGCTAACAGCCGGTATGACCGGTAGACACGCCAAATCACCAAATAGGATGAACACTAACCACGGGGGTGGCCATCTCGGACCTGCTCCCAGGGCTGCCAAGAAAGAGGACTCGAGGCCCAAGCGGCCGAGGAGCGGCAGCAGACGCGGTAGGGGAGGCGAGCGCACTCGGGCCATGAACAACATTCATAGCGCGATCGGCAAACAGAACTCCAACGAACCCGGCAACGAGGAATGGGAGACGACCTCCGAGAACAGCGAGGAGCATCCCGATGAGAGGAAGGATGGACACGGGCCCCGCTCGAACAAATCCTTTAGCGGCAGAGGCGAGAGGCAGAACGTCAACGTTATCGGCAACAATCGGGAGCAACACGGTCGCGATCAGCGTGGCTCAAGAGGCGACAAAGGTCCCAAGTCTTCCAACGCCCAGTCCAATCGAGCGTCAGGCTCGGAGAAGGGCCGTAACGCCCAGAATGTCTCCGAGCGCGGTGGGAACCGCGACGGCTCGCAGCGTAATCACCATTCGGGAAATAACCCACCGCTCACGCAATCGCAGAATGGCAGGCCACGAAACCAAGGCTCGGTTAACGTCGGCTCCCTCATCATCAAGTCCATGATGAACAAGGACACGACGGTAAACAGAATCGACGAGATCAAGTTGAACGATCCGAACCTCGTGAATCAGGCGCTCAATGACTTCGGCGGCGGTGGCGGTGGCGGCGGCGGCGGCGGCAAATCCCAGTCGAAGGATAAGAGAGGGGTGAACGTCGCCGACTTAGACATGGATAGTAATTGCATCGTTGGAGAAGACGTCTCTAATGCGGGTGATGACAATAAGCTCGACGCCGATGGCTTCCAAGAAGTGCGTTCGAAGAAGAACGTGAAGGAGTCGAGCCGTCAGCAGCAGCAAAAGGATGAATTGCAGAGCTCTAAACCCGGACGACGTGACAGAGAGAAGGACCGTGGCGAACGTGATCGGTCCAAATCGAAAACCAACGGAGCTCAGTCTCAACAGCAGCAACAACAACAGCAGCAGCAGCAGCAGCAGCAGCAACAGCAGGCGCAAAATATGCCCATGATGCTGAATCAATCGACCGGTGTCGTACTCAATAAGCCTTACGAGCGCATTCGACCGGTAGCCCCACGCTTTCAGAAGCAGCAGCAACGGATGACCAAGCATCAACAGGTCAGAGTCAGTGGTGGCCACGGTGGAAACGAATCCAGCGATTCAACCACTGGTAAGACACAAAACCATCGAGCGACTAAAGTTAATGACGCAATCGGCGGCGTGGCGGTAGACGCTTCTAACACCAATGCTAACAATTCCATAAAAAGCAATTCTAACGTCAATGCTTGGGCTAAAACATTCGTAGGTGGATCCTCGAGTCGATCGCCCCCGTCACCCGCCATCGCATCCTTACCAGCCGACATTCAAATGATGGGGCTCGCACCAGCCGCTCAGGGTGGCAGCGCCGGTACGGACCACGAGTCCAGCCAGGTCGACTCGCAGCAGCAGCAGCAGCAACAACAGCAGCAGCAACAACAGCAGCAGCAGCAGCAACAACAGCAGCAGCAGCAGCAGCAGCAGCAGCAGCAGCAGCAGCAGCAGCAGCAGCAGCAGCAGCAGCAGCAGCAGCAGCAGCAGCAGCAGCAGCAGCAGCAGCAGCAGCAGCAGCAGCAGCAGCAGCAGCAGCAGCAGCAGCAGCAGCAGCAGCAGCAACAACCGCAGCAGCAACAACAGCAGCAGCAGCAGCAACAGCAGCAGCAATCCTGCGGCACGGCGACCGCCGTCAGCCAACGTAACTCGCCCAACTGCGACAAGGTCACGAGCGGTGGTAAGCTCGCGCAGCCGGGCAGCAGCCAAGATAGCAAAGTAAACACGGACGCCTCCTCGCCTCCTGTCCAGACTCTCATATTTGAGAATACAAATTACTCGAAGAACACCAAGAATACGGTAGGCTCGGCCGGCGACATGGCCATCAAGTCCAAGTACTCGAATCATATGAAGTCACAGTCGCGCGATAAGCGCGTGAACGACATAGAGGATGACGGTAGCCAGCTGCAACAGCACCAGCAGCAGGCCCTCGCCGTTGCCTTCTCCAACAAGTCCAACGACCTCATGAAAGACAAGGTGTCCCAGCAACAGCAAGAGCCAATACAGATGCCTCTCTCGTTCAATAACAAAGAAGACAACGCGGACATGAAGCTGGACTTCACGTTCGACTCTGACCTGACGCAGCTAACCGAGGACAAAAGCAAGAGTCTCGGCATGCCGAGATCCATGCACATTACCGGCGGCCAGAGCACGATATCGCCCTCGACCGCCGAGCTCAACCTCAAAATCGCCTCCGTAAAGAAGGTCTGGGAAAGCGCGCCGCCTATGCCGACGGTCGTCGAGCACGAGGTCGACGGCAATGTCGTGAGCAACGCCAGCAGCTTCCCCCAGGCATTCGAGAGTAACGATGTAGACGACAGCTATAACGCGCACCAACAGTATAATCAGGGCAACATGAAAAATGAGATCACGACCTCGACCAACGTTTGCAAGGTAGGCACTTCTCTTATCTTCTCTCCATTGTTTTATTGTGTGTTTTTGCGTGCAAGTTGCAACAACGGTGTCGTTAATTTTCGCGCTCTCGCTTTATCCCTTCATTACCGTCGCGTGCCTCTCAAAATAGTTTTCGTATCTTTTCTTTTTACATTGCTACAAAATTACCTGTTTGCATTGGTGATATATTTTGATCGAATGTTGTCCCCCACCCCCCGACCCCCCACCGCCCTTACCACCACCCAACCCCCCCCCCTTCCCCATCCCCCTTCCCCTCCAACCACCCACCCACCCTCCCACCCATCCCTCGACATTTAAAATTAAAATTATAAATAATCTTATCGTTATTATAAGCACCTATAGCAATTAACAAATTTCGAATTAGGAATAATTCATGCAGCCATTTTTTAAACGATATAATGTCATACAGATTTCATTTGTTTATTTATTAGTCAACATATTTTGAAATATTCTTAACTATTTCAACTAGACATTTTACCTTTAAAGCTTATCATATTATCATCTTTAATTTAAATTTAACAACAAAAACAAATGCATACTACCGCATTTGAGCGTTTTTTGTTTCGAAAAAAAAAGGGAGAAAAAAAATTATAATAAATATTATCGTCATGTACTGTAAGATATTACGCGGGTGAACTTTTTTACGGTGAACGAGAAATTTTAAAATAAAAAGTGACAATATCATATTAAATAATCGTAGATCAATATATTTTTATTGATAAACTGTATAAAAATTCGACTTAATTTTGAATTAAAAATAATTTTACAGGCAATGGTCGTATAAATTATTGGCTACGTGAAATAAAATTCTAGAATAATTATTGATATTGAAGCTTGCAAATTCATAATGGCTTTTCACGATTATTCAAACAAGTAGAGCCCCGTTTCATTTAAATTGAGACTCTATTGATGTGAAATATTGGCAAGTTATCATTGTCGAATATGAAATTAAATTCCAATAAAAATTGATAAATTAATTCATCAAACAGATGTCGACATAAATAACATAAATGGGATTATACATTCACTTATAAAGAATAAGAGAAAAGTTCTTTATGATCGGAGTAAATAATATTATGTAAAATGATTCCGTGGGCATACGTATCAGTAAAATAGTATCGAATTGCCAATGAAGCAAGATGGGGGGGGGGTGAGAGAGAGAGAGAGAGAGAGAGAGAGAGAATCGCAGTAATTATTGTATTTATTAAAGCTTGTCACTTTTCGTATTGAAAAGATGAAAATTTATCGGGACTCGATATTAAATGCAGGAAGCCTCCATTCCGATATATTTAAAAATTAACGGTTTAAATTCTTTTTTCTCTTATTTTTCTGTCAATTAATCGATTGTTTGCAAATAACAAAATTCGGTTTACAAAGTGTCGTCGACGACTATAAAAATTAAGCCGACTATATAAATGCTCTGTGGAAATATATTAATCGTGCATTGTCATTCGCAACATGGAAATCAAATGAAAAAGACAAGTAAATTGTTTCAAGTAAATTTTTCATCCCCTGAAATCTCGCGATTTCTCGTGCCCGCAAATATAGTAAAGCGAAAAAAAGTGACACCCGGCTTCGCACTGCACATCACACGATACTACATACATCATAACATGTCATGCATGCCTAAAAGAAAAAAGCCACCGCCTTCGCACGGCCAACCAGTCAGATAGCCAGCCATCCCCCATTAGGACACCCACCCCCCTCCCCCACCAACTCCCAACACTAACGCCACTCACCTATCCCCCCGCACCCCAAACTAATTAATATCTATCTATATATATAGATATATAAAGAATTATCATGTTGAAATTGTGGGGATGGCTTAAGGGTATGTGAGAAGGGAGGATGGCATGATGAGATATTGGGGTCGTGGGGCGACGGTGGTGTACTATCATAAGCAAAAATATCGTTGATCATGTCCCGTGTGGGAAGACGCTGACTCTTTGCCTGATGCGCAGCTGGTTCCCCCGCAGGTGAAGCCGCAGCAACAATCATCGGGTGGCGGCGGAGCGCAGCCAGGCTCCTCGGTGCCGGGTCCGAGCCCCATCGGGCCCGGCCAGAGCCCCATCGGCCATCCCCCGGCGAGCTTACAGGGGCCCCTCAGCCCCCCGCCCTTCAATTCCACCGGACAACCCTCTCACATTAATTATCAGGTTAATGCCAAAGCACCGACTTAACTCTTCTTCCTTTTTTTCTCTCTCTCTTTTTTTTTTTTTCTTTTCTTTTCTACTCTGCATGAGGCCCGCCTCGTCACACTGGTCCAGTCGCCCAACTCCTTGCTTCCGATACTTCATCTTACCGGACAGGCCGTATCCTCGCGCCCCGAACGCGGTGGCTGCACTTGACTCCCGAGATGAGGTCTCCGCTCCCCGTAAATCCAGCTATTTATAAAACGAATTGCTCGCGACAGTCGGTGCGTTGCTTTTACGGCCTCACTCGATTGGCCTTTACCAACAGCCCGTGCGCTCTACCACCCGTCCTCCCCTCCTCATCCTCCTCCCCCTTTCGATTTAATGAGATTCGCGATTCGTGATTCACGACGAGCGAGAAATTTACCGCGCAAGTAATGCTAGCTACGCGCACCGAGTCCATCTGGAATTGTAGTAGTCGCGAGCATAAGGTGCGTTTCAGAAGGAAGCTCGAAATCACGAGTTGAGTAACTAAGAAACGAAAGCCTATCGCGATTTGAAGTGTTGCGCAGTGATTCGTTCGGTCGGTTTTTTTTTTTTTTTTTTTGTCACCGTGGTGACCCTTAATTCTCCCACTTACACGAACGGCGAACATAATTCTCAATGGGCTTGGGAATTTATATATATATATATATATATATATATATATATATATATTTTCTTCTTTTCTTTTGCAATTTACATTGATTATTATACAATTTTGTCGATAATCAAACTAATCGAGACATGATACATAAAAAATTAATACTTGAAAGAGTATAAAAAGAAATGAGCAATTGTTCGAGTACAGTTTTGACTTTGACGACCACGTGCAACTTGCAAACTATAAATTTCCTTTTTATTTATCCAAAACACTTAACATACATATACGCGCACATATGTAAAATGAAAGAAAGAAGCTTTTCATTAAAATGCGATTGTCAGATTACAACTTATTGATTATTTCCCCCGTCCTCTGCTCTCACTGCTTAATTATAAACTAAATGTTTAATGTCATTTTATCATGAGCGCACATTATTGCATATTACGTATAGAATTGTGAGCAACACTTCATTTTCTATAATTCTCTGCAAAAACAGGCTGTCACGCAAATCTTAATAAAAATTGATTATTCGATCGACGATCATAACGATTGGCTGGGGATAGTCTTACAGACAACAATTGACGGTCTTGCATTCGGCGTTCAACGTTTCTTTTTGTATGCATTGTCGTCCTCGTGATATCGAACGTAAGATGATGGGGCAAGCGCATTACCTACGGAATAACCGCCAATACATACACAAAATGGTCTCGTGCCGCGCGCTTCTCGCACCTCGGGATCAATGGGGGAAATGAACGAATCAAACTATAGTCTTGGAAAACGAGACGGAAAATTGCGCGACGAGAGGGTGGGGATTGAATAATGGATGAGGGGAGGGATGGAGGGCAATACGCCCCCGAGACAAACAAGTTTTATATGATTGACATAGGAATTTGTGCAGTATCCGGGTTCCCAGGCGGCGCAGTATGGCAGCATGTCGGCGATCCCCTCGCCACCGGCTGTCCTTTTCAACACTGGATCAGGTCAACTGCCGGCCCAGGCGGGCGGCCTCTACGGCGCATTCCAGCTGGACCAGAGCAGGTCCCCCTTCACTCAGTATCCGCCTTACGCCGCCTCGCTTCAGAGCTCCTTCAACCAGCAGAACATGTACCTACAGCAGCCACCGCCGCCCCATGCGCCCAACGCGCCCACTCCGGACATCTACCCGAGCAATCTCTCGCAATACCGCCTCGTACGTATTTTTACATGCACTAACGCCTAGGTCACCCATACTCGCACCACCGCGGATCGTCAACGCTGCTTGCTTGCTCAGTACGGCCGTCGTCACAACGGCTGGTACACCCGACATTAATTGTCGCAATCAAATCAATTCTCCCCGCCTTTTCGTCCAATTCTTTCTAATAGTCATAGTTCATAGTCGCGGTGGTGGCTCGTTATATTTTCGGTTAAAAGGCAACGATCGCCTTTTCATGCTTTTAGTCCTCGCTACATTGATTATTGATTATTTTGTCTACATTGATTTTTCAAATTCAATTACACATATTGACGAAAACTTATACTTGACTAAACTGAAATACACATACAAATATTCGTTCGATTGGGAATTCACGAAAATCATGCTGTACCTATTGCTTTACATACGATAACAAAACGTTACTTTTACTTCACAGACTGCAGCTGCTGCACCACCATTTGGACAAAATCAACAACTTAGTAATAATCCTAATACTGTACTTATCAGTTCATCCTCAAATTCCTTAATGTCAGCCAGTGTCAAGCCATCATCTCAACCGATTGGCGCTATTGGCACTAAGGCCCCGCACTTTCAAGCACCATCGGCACCTCCGCAACCAAATCAAGTGAGATATCTCGTTAAACCCGCGCGCCTTTTCGTCAATTTTACCAAATGCCGTTTAATAAAATACGACTCCTCGTTCTAGCTGGCATACATTCCGTACGATCCAAATCAAGTATTAGGAGTAAGCGGCAGCTACATGGGCAACTCCCAATTGGTTCAGAGACCCGGTCCCAATGTTCAGCCCTCGGCAAATAATTATTACAGTGCCGCATCAGCAGGTAAATGCGCTTAACTACTCCATGTAAGACCAATGCAACTATGTTACCACCTCGGCTTAACGTCGCTTTTACAAAATGTATACAAAAAACCGTATAAATAATGTACTGTTGAGTCATGAATCGTCGGACATGCTCGAGGGCGGGCTTCCGATCGTTTAACGAGCGTTTACCGAGCAACTAAATTCGTTACGATTAAACGCACCCCATCCAACCTCGTTTTTCAGATGTCTTTTCCGGATCCCAGACGGGCTTTTATCAACCAGGTGGCGCGGCACAGCAGACCGGAGCGCACTATGGCCTTCAGGGATTTGGCCAGCATAGCCAGAGCCTAGCAACTGGTAACGCCGCCCCCGTCGGCCTTCAGAACTTCAGCTCGCAGTTCCTGTCGGGCTCCGGATTACAGATAGCCGCTGCGGCCGCGGCTCAACAGTACCGTAACCCCGCGGGTGGACTGCCGGGACCCGCCAATGCGGCTGCCACCTTCCTCAGTAAGCATCAGCAGCAAGAGCAGCCACGGCAGTTAAAGAGCCCGTCGGGCAATCAACAGGACGTGCTGGCATCGGTTTTTAGCTCCAGTGAGTATGATTTTTAAACTCGAATATAATCGGCACATCCAGGCGACATTCAATGAACCTGAGAGTTTTTATAAAAAGTTTCATAAGTATTCATAAGCATTTGTTGATTAATGCTCGCGACGTTCTTCCAGCACCCCAAATACCATCGCCAAAATCAAGAAAACAACAGTCATCCTCGCAACAGCCACAGCCAAGTCCCACGCAACATCATAAATTCCAACAATATCAGGGTGGCAGTCAGTCTGCTCTGGTAAGCAGCTACACTAACTACGTATGTACCATTTTATTTAGTTGCACTTTGAATCGTTAAAGTTTACAAAGGCAGTTTCGAGTAACATGAATTGGCGTTCGAAACGTTAAGACTTTTGCAATGGCGAGGCAAATATTGAACAACAAAACTGGTCAGGTTTTACAGCAGAACGTCCGGGCAATGGGGATGCCGCCCCGTGGTGGCATTCAGCCATCGCAACAACGCTACCCACCGCCGATTCAACGACCCGTGGTGCCCTTTCCACCGGGTCCCAATCCCAACAACTCCCAGCAAGGCCAGCAGCAGAATTGTATGCCTAATCAACAGCAGCAGCAGCAACAGCAGCAGCAACAACAAACGCAGATGAATCGTCACAGGTCCAACATTCATCAGCAGCAGCAACAGCAGCAGCAGCGCAATATGAAGATGCAACAGCAATATTACTCCGGACAAAGTGAGATCTAATGTCATCCTCTGTACATACGAGATGAATCGTTTATTTGTAAAACTATTGAAAGAGTCCATTAAAGATGAATGTTTTTGAAAATATACTCATGTCATTGTTTGATAATTATTTTGCGGGCCTCGGCAATATTACGATTACTGGGCTAAAACTCGTTTAATAAGTAAACGATTCGAATGAAAACAAAAATTTTATTTAGCAATTAAAAATTATAATTCTTGATTTGTGATCTGCGATAGGCAACTCGAAGATGGATTCCAATGATAAAGTGGATTCTCATAATGATAAAATATCTGATTCCAATGTTGGAAATCAAACTAACGGGAATAAAAATAATGCCAACCCGCCAGATACTGACCACAAAGAGGAAGTAAGCCAACAAAATGAATAATGATGGAAAATATAAAATCGTCGACGAAGGCTTTTAATCTAACGTTAATCCACAATATGCATACATACACATACATACATATATATATATATATATATATATATATATATATACATAACGCACATATGCACACATATATGTACGCGTTTGTGTGTTTTATATTCATACCTGTATGTATATATATATATATATATATATATATGTCTGTATATATTTATATATGCACGTATGTACACATACATATAAATATATGCGCGCGCGCTCGCGCGTGTACACACACGCACACACACACACACACACACACATATTATACATATATATATCTTCAATTACTGAAACAGGAGAAATCAGTGAATAGAAATAATATGTAAGCAAGGAATGGTCTGTCTAAAAATAATTTCCGTCTTGGAGGAATAATTATAAATGGGGTCTTCGACTCACGGTTCACAGTAATGATCATCGAGCACAAAAGAATAGTCGGTGGCAAGTCTATTTTTACCACATCGAATAAGAAAAAGAAAGTAATAATGAATATGACGTTTTTGTCCAATTGTTCAATCGGATACTAAAGAGCTGTTGTAATTCTGTTTGTTGGCTATGGAACGATATAAGGAATTTCATTTAAAACAAAAGAAAACATAAAAAAAAAAACCATAACATAAAAACAAATCGAAAAATCATTCAAACTAAGGACACTAAAGTATCATTCGTGTGTCCATCTTGTCTATATAGTATTATCAACTCGATCCGACAAAAGCTGTGTTGAAAATTTTTGGTATTGGTGAGAGAAAGATTTAAAAACAAAAACAAAACAAACAAAAAAAGTATATACACCTGTAAAATTTCTACTTATTCTATACACAGCGAAATTTCGAAATCAATCGCTACCGATAGTTGAGCGATAAATTATCCTGCCTAGACCTTAAAACATGCACACTCTCGATACCAGAGACATTTATTCAGACAGAGCCACGTAGCGACACAAAGCGACTCGTCAATGATACGTTACGCGCAAGACGACTAAAAAAAAGTGCTTAAAGTGTTTTTTTTTCCTTATAAAGGCATTGCCAATGACTTCAAAAGACTGTCTTTTGCTTTATTTAAAAAATAAAAAATAAAAATATATATATATATAAAAAAAAAAAAAAAAAAAGTGTGAGAATCGACTTCGGAGTACGAATCTGTGATGTGGTCGCTACTTTGTATGGTCTTTAAATAAAAGTAGGAAATAATTGTTTACAGTATCGTTCGCAAATCGATAATTGACCTCGCCTTCGCACAGGTTACGAGTTATTCATCGTTTATAGCTGTGTAATGCTTTAAAGTATCGAAAGTGCAGCATAACATTCATTTTATTGCCAAGGCTGAAGAAAGAAAAAAAAATGAAAGAGCCACTTGTCTTTAAAAAAAAAAAATATAATGAATTGTACATTTTTCCGTTATCGTTCTAATTAGATCCTCTATTATTATTATTATTATTATTATTATTATTATTAATTAATTAATTAATTAATTAATTATTAATTATTATTAATTAATTATTATTATTATTATTATTATTATTATTATTATTATTATTATATAAAGACGAAACTGAGATAATGAATAAAAGGCAAATGTTTAATTAAACTGAAATCCCATAGTTACATAGTTTTTATTGAATCGGCTAAACGTGATATTTCGCAGCCGTTGAAAGAAACGATACTATGGGGTTAGACTGGATTGGATTTTTTTTCTTCTTTTCTCAAGGTATGAAATCTACTGCCAGTCGTTTCGGCGACCATCTAATTCAAATGTTTTTTCACGATAGGTAATATTAAAAGCGGATATGAGAAGAATTTACGCGTCGTGTCGCGGAGCTGCAATGATAGAAATATAAGACAATGATAATATGGAGTTTAAATGTACTACCGATTCGAATGCTCTCATGTCGAATGTCTTTGAAGATTACAAAAATTATTGACACATGTAACTTTATATATATATATATATATATATATATATGTATATATATATATGTATGTATATATATATATATATATATATATATATATAAAATAGTAATAAAGGTCTATTAATTACGCGGATATATCTAAGCTGAAACTTTTAGAAATGTAAAAGAGATGGTAACTGTACTACCAAGAATCAAATTCATGTACATGTACGATATGAAGAAAGTGCTTCTTAACGTAACTGGCAAGAAATTGACGAAGTGGCGAGCTCGAACTTTTTTCGCTTGGTGGTCGTTATCGACAATTTTTTAAACAAGGAGAAAATCAAATTTTTAAATAAAAGAAGGATGCTTTCCTCATTATATTATAACTGCTGCTACAATTATCAACAATTCTCTCTCTCTTTTTTTTTTTTCTCTCATAATACTTTTACTGCACGTTTGTTTGCATGTGTGCATTCAGCGGACTTCGTTACTGCTCGAATGAAACAAACTGCGCAATATATTTATAAAACATAGTCGATGTACGTGGTAAACTGTTAAATATACCTAGTGCAAAAGTGTGTGTCGGTACGTTCTTATTTGTTTTTCTCTAGTGAAAAAAAGAAAGTCGTATCCAAGGCAAATGCGGGCATCGGTGCGGGGGTCTGTTTTTTTTATTTATTTATTTATCTGTTTATATATATATATATTTTTTTTTTCTTTTTTTAACACTAAAGACTGGCTATTGACAATGCTTGGTATTTATAAAACAAGATTCATTTGTGAAATATAGCAACCGAGGACGTCAAATATCGAAAGAAAGAGAAAAATGGTCTTCATAGCTGAAAATAATTTTTTTACGATTTATTTTACTTTTTAAACTAATGTGTCCAGTGGTAATAAATAAGAATGAGAGGGAGAGAGAGAGAGAGAGAGAGAGAGCGCATGCCGACTCCGACGAATGATTATTACTGCGACTGACAATACGTGTCCTGTACATATTGTTTTACTTGAAAGACTGAACGTTGTGTGTCCGTGAATTCTGAACGTTAAGGATGACGAGATAGTGTAATTGTAAAACATAAAATGAATAATTAACTGCGATAGTCTTTGTTTGTGTAAGTTATCGTAAGCCAGTGCGTTTTAAAATAGGCTTCGTGAAAACCGAAAAATGAATGATACAAAATAATGAGCGAGCGATAACAATATGTCCGATGCTTTAAAACTAATAAATAAAGATAAAGATAAAACGCGGAAAGACAGACCCTTGAATCAACCCTCAAAGTGCCTGTAAAATTTATCTGTCCCTTGAGTTAAACTCGGCGGAAGTATTGACATTTTAATGAAAATGAGTATAATACGAAAAAAGCAGTAGCCGAGTCGTTAACCTGAAAAAAAAAAGAAAGAAAAAGAGAGCGAGCCACATCATGAGAAACGAGAAAAAGACAAACATCCTAATTATTAATCTTCTATTTTCTTTCATTGGACCAAATCTTGTTGTCTGCCCAGATTACGATGATGTATGACGAAAAATAAAAATATCTTCTTTTTTTTCTCTCTTTGACTTATGTGTCGTTGCATGTGGCGCAGGAACGTCGATGTGACTATCATTTTTTTTTTTTCTTCTTTTAACGCCGCTATTGTACACGGTTCTTTATGTTTGTATTATTTTATTGATAAAAGAAAAAAAATAATAATAATCAATAAACAAGTTTTTCTCCTTGATTTCTACATCTTTGCACACGAAACGTTTGTAATGCGTGTAGAAGGAAAATAATTGCATCGACTGTAGAATTCTGTACTGAAAAGAGAAACAAACGTAAACAAAAGCACACAAACAAATAAATGAGATTGGATATGAGACGGTGTTATCTTAAATGATAATTAACACGTTGATGGGGTAGTGACAATTAAGATAAGGGAAGGTGAATGGACAAACGTAAGAAAATAATAGTTACGAAACTCTATTACTCTTATTGTAAAATCCAATTTTTTAAGTTTTTATTGCGTCAGAGGTGAGACGCAATTATTATTGGAAGAAGCATAAAATGGAAATCCTTTTTATCCCATTTTTCCCACGGTGTAATTATCATTTCGTCTCTTCTGCCACAAATGACAAAGATTAATGAATCCTTAACGATGGTAATTTTCGTATGGAAGCATTATTGAATCGAAATGGAAATCGAAATCGTCTAGCGGGTTAATTTAACGATATATATATCATTAAGTGTTAAATTAACGATAATTGTCTTGAGATATTTTTAAGTTGAACGGATTTATGAAGAGTACCTTCGACTAAATCCCATAAGATGCCCACACAAGACAACAAAATCAGATCGAAGACATAATAAATAAATAAATAAATAAAAAAACTAAGGAAGTTAACGGTCGTAACTTCATCGGCATCGTGTTCTCGCACCGATTATGCTAGTATTAGGCATAAATTAATGAAAACGCCGTTGAATGCAGATTTTTCCTTCGGGAAAACTTTGTATATCCTCTGTATAAATACGCACACGCACACACACACGCATGCGCTTATATAGACGTCGGCCAACAAGATAAGAAGTTTTAAGGAATAGGAAGAATAATAGAGTTTTTGGCCAATGGAAGAGATAATTTTTAAGAATTATTGTGTATTGTAAAGATATGTGGATGATGAAAGACAAAAATAAGTAAGGGAACGAAGATGTGTAGGTAGAGAGGCTTTCGACATGAAAGCGTTTAAACGGGTAGAAAAAAATAATAAATTAAAGTTGAGACGCGTAAGACTGCAACTTTTTAAGCTCGTAATTTCTTAAATTAAAACCCAGAAATACATAAAGTATAAAGTAATAATGACAAGAAATTGCAAAATTTTAGGGGATATGAAATTTACTTAACTATTTCAAAAAAAAAAAAAAAAACAAAGAAAAACAAACAAAAAAAAAAGAAAAAGAAACAATATATAAAAAAAATAAAAAAAAAAAAAAAAAATGCCAATTGATACTAACACACGTATACACACAGGTGCATTGTGATTTCGATTAATGAAAATATTGGATGAAATCAAGTCAATGAAAGAAATGACACAACGACTAAAATCATTAAGACAAAAAAGAACTTTATATAGTAATAACGATAATTGTATCGGGCGTTTCGAAATGGGAAAGAAGAAATCTAAAATAATGCATAAACATTACGCTTGCGGTGTAATTATTGTCTTTAGCAGCAATGAAATTGTAAATTAAAACACAGTTGCAGTCATAACCGAGCCGCCTCTGTTTAATGTGCGCTTGGTTTTGATTACAACTTGACAATGAAAAAATAATGTCTTTTTTCTCAATTATCCCCGTTACCTGATTACCTATAATTTTCTTCTTCATTACAAACTGATAAAGAAGAAACCCAACCAAACCACACACCACCACCCCCCCCCCTCTACCACCACCAAATCTGTTTTTTTTTTTTTTTTTTTTTTTTTTTTTTTCAATTATTAAAAAATAATTTTTTTTTATTAACGACTAATTGTTATTATTATTTGGAACTGACCATACTCGTTGCATTGAATGCATGAAATTAGATTATTATATGGTTGTTTCAATGATTTGAGATTTATATCATAGACTCGATAATAATAATTTGTTGTCAAATTATTTAATCGATTGGTCGTTTTCATTAAATACTTGCGCTATGCAGTCAAATCAAAGAAATAAAATTACAATTAATAATTGAGCTTAATTATTTTTAATAAATGTTAAATAGGTAAAATAACCAATTTTATTATAAGATTATATAGTTTTATGTGTTTGGATATGTCAAGCAAGCATTAAAATAATTATTCAATACAATTTTCAAACACTAGTGTTGGCTATTTTTGTTAACAATGATACATGAGATATATTAAATTATATAAAATGTATTTTACTATGCATTAAAGACGTATAATTAATGTTGCAGAAAGTAGATAATAATTATCTCTAAAATTTTATAATTGCCATTCCAATGAGATTGAACATTGGAAAATAAATGATTAATACAGCAATTATATCTTATAATTATAATTTAAGGATAAATATTAATTTGAACGTATTTTAAATGACAATAAATATGAAAAATTCAGATTAACCGAGAGCTAATGATATTAACATTGCAATAAATTTACGTTAAGATATTAAGATGTGAAGTAGGTGTATTTTTGAATATCTCAATGATAAAATTAAACTAACTTTCATAGGTAAGGATAATTTGATTAAAAGGATTTTTGCTAATAATCACAATAACAATAGATAATCAAGAGTATTGTTACTTTGAAGCAGTCAGTTACATTGAAAGATAAACATGTTTATACTGTTATAACAATAATTTTCATTATTGCATTTGAATATTTATATATTTATGTAAATACTTAATAACACGTTGGTGCCATTGTATTGGGAGCCTAAGCGATTACAACATGAAATCATGAAAAATATCATTTTCATGGATTTATCGAGTTTATGAGTTTATGATAGATATGAAGCTGTTTGAATTTCAAGGAAAAATTATTTTCATTTAAATGTTATAAGAAATATATTGGATAAACATAATTGATTTATGTGAACAATATTTAAATATTCATTATATAATAATTATAATTTTCTTGTTTTATCGCCCAATTCGATATAGCTCATCGTGAAGTATACTATCAAAAGGAAATATAATTTTACTATTTAAAATAAGGTAAGTGAAAATGTCAATTATACAAATATAATTTGTTTCGGCCATATATTCCCAACAGCAATGCAGTTTTTTAAATATATTTGAAATATGTGCTTTCCTTGTCTCTCATGGTCATGTAATTATAATAAATAACATACGATTTAAAAAACAAAAAAAAAATATATATATATATATATATTTCTGTAATAGTTTAACAAACATGTCATTCGATCTGAAATCAATCAAATAATAATATACATTTTATATAATATATTAATATAGACAAATAAATGAGCGTTCACGCGTGTATGTATAAAAAAAAATATCAGCTGCATTTTATAATTCATAAATGCAATGACGATAATCGATAATGGCTAATGCAATTATTAAATATTTGTAATTTCTCCCCGATCCATCCCCCCCCCCCCCCTTTACGTACGAAACGTTATACATGATAAATTAAAAATCAATTTTTTTTTTTTTGTTTTGCTCTTTTTTACCTCGTAAAAGTAAAGTGAACGTCATAAGTCGCCGATGCATGGGAGAAAAATAATATCGTATTAAAGAGAGAGAGAGAGAGAGAGAGAGAGAGAGAGAGAGAGAGAGAGAGAGAGAGTAGGTAAAATGTTTATTGGTAAGAAGCGCCAAACCAACATAATCACAATACAGAAACTATTTTTATCCACGTTAGATGTGTGGGAAAACCCACCGGAGTATGTATATGCATTGCAATGATAACGATCGAATGTTAAGCAGCGTTGGACGAAATTCTACATCGTGGGAAATTCGTTGTTAAAGCATTGCCCATAATGGGAAACGAAAAAAGTGTCTTGAAAGGCTTGGAAATCGACGATAAAGCGCTGGAAATCACTGATTTCTGGACGCATCACAGCTCAAAAATTCAAGGACCTAACCCCCAAAATTTGTCAATATTCATTAGCGAGCCTTCCTTACATTCTGATGCGAGCTTTGGTAAACCGTCACCTTTAGAAAAAGCAGCGAAAGTACGTTTCATTTGGCGCATTGATGTGTTGTCAAATTCGTAATCGATATATACACACCATATTAACAATTCTTTGACGTTGGCAATATTACAATTTCATTTTATTCCCATGTAACAGTTTTGTCATTCTGTTTTAGAATTTGATGGTTCATCGCCATCCATATATACTTAAGTACGTGTCTTCTTGGTCGAAGGGTAGCAAGTTCTTCCTTGCCACGGAGGAGGTGAAGCCTCTTGTACAGGTCATAGGCACTCAGACTACGTTGCAAATTTGCGTTGGTTTATATAGTATATTGGGAGCTCTCCTTTTCCTTCACCAAAAGGCCTCGAGCTCTCATAACAATGTCTGCAGTAGCTCTATTTATGTGACGTCGGAGGGCGGTTGGAAATTGGGAGGCTTAGAATATCTGTGTCAAATTTCAGAATTAAATCTAATGTACCTCAGAAAAATAAAGATGTATCGCTATGAAAATGCAATATCGCCTGATGAGGAAACGTCGATACAGACCATTTCAGATAATCCGTCTGCCATCGACAAATATGCATTCGCTGTATTGGCGGAAGACGTCTTAAAGATAAAAAATGAAGGTAAAGCGTCCCATATGAGAAATAGCGCATAAGAAATATTTGCCATTACGTCTCTTCAAGTTGACAAAACTCCTAATTGTATAAAATTTTTTGCAGACGATGTTCCTGGTTTAAGTGAATTTAAACAACTGTGTAAAGAGAAATTAAAAGACACTACGCTCGATTGTCTAGTTCACCATCCATTTTTCAATCATAACTTCATGAATATCTATGCATTTTTAACGGAATTGCCTTTAAAAAATGAAAACGAGAAGGAAGAATTCTTTTCGTAAGTATCTTTATGCTTCGTGCTTCGAGGCTTCGATCCGAACGATTCAGTTCGCATTGCTTCTACACGCGCTCATAATATTGTAATTGTTGCAGTAAATTAGTCTCGCAATTGCAAAATTTTCCTGAGAAAATTGTCGCCGAGCAGCTTGGAAAATTACTATTATCACGAATGGTCCTATTAGATGCGACAGCTCAAACGAAATTTCTTCCCATTATTTTAAAGCCAAAAGGTGAGAAGATTAGATACAAATTTATTTCATCAGCCATACTTCAAACGCAAATCATCCTTTCAAAACGCAAATCCATTTGTCATTATTAACAATAAGAACATTAACGATACTTTGGTGAATAACGTTGGCCCGTCCGTTGCTTCGCAGAAAATGACGATGACTCCGGCCTCCTATCCATTTCTACCTTTCAAGCGTGCCTCGTCCCGCAGCTACTCCAAGTCTTTTGTGTTCGCGACACTCCCATCAGGTTATTATTGCTGTTGCATTTGCATCTGTTCGTGAAAACATTTCAAATAGAGGATCTGAGGCACCGCGTGTTACCGGAACTCCTCGTTGGTATCAAAGACACGGACGATTACTTGGTAAGCACTACCCTGCGCGCCCTTGCCGACCTCGTGCCGATTCTTGGCGCAGCCACGGTCATTGGCGGCAACAGGGGGAAGCTCTTCACCGACGGTCGTCCCAACAAACACCAAAGGAACAAGAAGAACCGTCACGTAAGGTTCAGCAGCCCCTGCAAGAGCGTAAATACGACGAGCAGCCCGATAGGTCCCGAAATGACGGGGTTATGTTTGCCCGAGAGGCCGTCGCCCGACGGCGGCGAGGATAAATCAGAGACCAACTTCAGCTTCGCCGAGGAGGAGAATTGGTCTGACTGGGATGCTCAGGAGAACGAATCGGAGGGTGCTGCCGTAACAGAGTCCGGTGAGCTGGTGCTGACGGATGAGTACGTCGACGTCGATAGGGAGGACAAGCCGACGAGTATTATGCCTGTGGCGTCTGCAGTCCCGCTACCGCTCACGTCCACGAGGTACCCCAAGAAGCCGATAATCTCGGACATCTCGGAGCTGGATATCAAGCATCTGAAGCCGATGAACGAGAACGCGGAAGATATCGACTTTTTCACCGACATGGAGCCCGTCATACAAAAGACACAGACTCTGCGGCTAGATGAGGCAGACGAGATAGAGACCGAGACAAAGAAGGTCTTTAATGTCAGTTTGGCGCCAACGGCCACGGAAGTCGAAGGCGACGGCTGGACCGACGGCGACCTCGACGACTGGGACGTGGAGAATAAATGCTAACGCTCGCGTTTTTAGAGAGCCGTCGTGAATGAGAAATATGCATTTAGGTTTCTTCGTAGGATGAGAGAGACCAAGAGCTGCTGGACTAATATTGCAAAGAATTTCGCTTTAATGGAATAGATTAATGAAGCATCAGTCATGCCTATTGTCACTTTCAAAATATAATATAATTAATAATTATTGGCAATGATCGAAACAATTATAAGAAATATATTTTCCAAACTGTACTTCAATAAAGATTGATTGTAAAATTAGTTAAAAAAAGAAATATTTTGTTGAGACATTCGTGTAGATTATACGTAGTGAAAAGTATCGAAGGAAAAACTTTCTTTTCGACTATGTTTCAATTTTTTTTAATAGTAATCATAGCGAAGTCGTCATATTGAACGACCGTGTTTGTACATATTATCATGCGATTTAGTGATGATTCGTTTGATATGAAATACGTGTATTATAATGTTTTATTATTATTATTATTATTATTATAGTAAAGCAGCGTGTCCTTACGTATCAGATATTCTTATCGTTACCGCCACGCTACGAATAAAGTGTATTTTCTTTTCACCTGCATAAGTAAAAGTAAACATTTTTTCTTCTGTACATAAATAATTTTTCATGCATGTCTAGATAGATAGATAGATAGATAGATAAAACTGCATATCGAATTTATAATTAAAAGCGTACGTTTTATTTATTACAAAAAACAATGTTTATGGTTAGAGTGTAAATTTATTTATTTATAAAGTAAAGCGAAAACAGTACCGATTATATAAAAAGCTATTCTAATAAAAAAAATTATGAAGAAAAAAGCTTATTTTTTCTTGCTAAGAATACCACCGTAATGAAATATAATATAAGCTTCATAAAACCATTGACTATTTCACTTGCGTAAAAACTAATTGACATGTATCTACTTTACAAATTTTGTAACAGATTTATTTTGTCAATTTTTTTCCCTTGCCTACTAATAAATTGAAAAGGAAAGCTTGGAAGTGATTTCTTTCCCTTTGCGCACTCGTTATTTTTAACTAACGAGTCTATTAATGATAAATTCTAAAATCATTCGAATAGTTACAGTCAATTATTGTTAACTTGATTTTAATGTTTGCGTGCGTGCGTGCGTGCGTGCGTGTATGTATACATATATATATATATATATATATATATATATATATGCATATTAAATATTTTACAAATCTTTTTATGAAAGAAATTTATATGTAATTATGGAACATATGAAATTGTCCATTTTTTTTTACAAATAATAAACAATAAAATAATTTGAATTTGAATAATTTGATAAATGTGATGATTTATTCAAACCTGTTCAAACATATTTATCGGAATACTTATATACTTAGAATGAAATTTCTTTATATTTCATTATAACTATGGCTGTATTGATAATTTTACGTAAGTGTAGACTTTTAGCAACACAATTATATTTTGAATTAGGAATAAATTTAACAATTTAATATTAATTAATATTAATAAAAAAAAAAATATATATATATATATATATATATATATATATATAATAATAATAATAATAATAATAATAATAATAAATAAATAAATAAATAAATAAATAAAATGTATTATTTTCTAATTCCTTAAAGTTATAACAATATTAGATATTGAACGCGAATATTAAATGAAAAATACGATTTCAAATAGCGAAATGCATAATATAGAGAAAAGGAGAGAGAAAAATATCGTTTAAGTAAATTTTTCCCCGTTAAAAATTTACAGCACATGTATGTTATCAGCAAAGAATTTCTTATCAATCCAAATTAATCCCTATGATTTTATATAATAATGACAATAAATACGAATGTTCAAATGCGTCTATTTGCATAAAAAGATTGATTAATTCATAACTCTGTATCAATTGCTTTTAATTTTGTCGTTAATAATTTAAACGTTATATTAAATATACGCTATGCTATACTATAAACAAATTGTACAACGAATTATGCCTCGCCTTTTAATAAGTTTACCATTATAAAATTACTTATACAATAAGAAAGAGGTAATCGGCAAATGATTGAAAAGAGAGATAAAGTTCAAATGTCGGTTCGCCCTAATTACCGCCAATGTAATAAATTTGCTTTTATTGGCAAATTAAGCTTGAGTTGTCATTGTATAATTACACGAATAGACACCACCAGTTACGTTTGATTCCGTTGATTTATTTCGTCTTAGCACTGGTTTAACGGCTTTGGACTTTGTTATTTGCTTCATTTCGGATGAGAACATATTTATAAAGCTGGCCTGCGACAAGGAGAAAAATTATAATAATATTATATGCAAATTATTGCTATTTAACGGATATTTGGATAAATAGGCCGATATTATGTAATTTAGAATTTTCTTTGACGGGCAATTGCTACGTATTCTCGTACGTATCGATATTTTGACTTTTGGCGAAGCAATTTACCTTTTCCTTCTTGGAAGTCATCTGCACGTGGCGACAAAATTCCCATAATGTCGTTGCGCAGGACAATGCAATGCCGATTCCCAAAACTGAAAAAACCCCGGCGAGTTGCTCCAAGTTCATGGCAGCTGGTGTATTGGAATTTGAGCTCTTGGTCGCCCGGGTGATTGCATTTGTAAAAATAAAGAACAAGTAAAACGATTCGATTAATCTCTCTCTCTCTCTCTCGCTCTCTCTCTCTCGCTCTCTTTACGTATTAATTGAGGAATAAGACGAATAAGACGCTTACGTCTTCACGATAATCCACGCTAATATTTCAATCTAATATTATTGTACATTGAGAAATAATGATCCAATGTTTATTAATAATTGTATGTTGCAACTTACAAAACAAACCGCGCCCTTCTCCTTCCACCATTTATTGTAAAACTCCATGATGATAAGCTTTTCTTGAAGTACTGAAATGGCTCTACTTATTTGCTGATGGTACTCAAAATCTAGAAAGGTATTTCATTTCAGTTTGGTTTTCAGTAGGCTGGAGGGGTATTGCAGAAATAGAGAATTTTGTACACCAAGGGATAATCGAAGCTTATAAAACCATTCGTATTCGATAAATGGACCCACGTCTAGAAATATTTTTAAATATCCATCGACGAATATTGTGACTCGATGGATGCTATGATTTTATTAAAACGACATATTCAAATAAGCATTTTACCAAGGTTCGGATAATTTTTAATAACTTATCAAATGCGCCTATTATTACGATTAGGAGAATTCGAGGTTGCCAAAGTGCGTGTTTAGCGCTCATTGTTAAGCGATAATGAATATTGAGTATGATAAATTCGAATGTAACTGGAACTGGAATTACATTTCTCGCGTTTCGGCATTTTCCAATTGCAACGTCAGCAGTGTACAAAATACCCTATACCCATGTGGTTATTGGGGTTAAACGTTAATTTCAATATCTCACTTTTGGCATAAGCAATGGCGTAGGACTTTTGGTCGATGAGTGGACCGGCTTGTTCCAAGTCGCATTCTCGATACTGAATGTACTCGATCGACGACGATTCCATTATAAAGGCGTAATTTTCCGTTTTCGCCAAGTGGATCGCCTGATCGTTGGACGTCACCATCCACTTTTCCCACTCCTTCGATTTCATCTTTTCGGCGAGTCCTCGGTGCTTTGGATTTTTCGAGCTCTAATGGCACGGGCGACGTTTGTTTTCTCTCATTAATCCCTCGTAATTTTACGCATTTATGCCTAAACGGCAATTATACTTCTAACGTTGCTCGCTTCACCACTCACAATACTTGTTGTGATAATGCTTGGTAAATCGAGACGCCAACGCAAAAGTTATTTATCGGCTAACCTACCTGAAAATACATAAAGGTCGATCCATCCTTTTTTGCTCCAAATTTAATAGCCGTTTGATTATACAAGTCCTCGATGCCCCTAACCACTTTAACGGGACTCTCGATAGTTAAAAACGCGGTCAAATTGGCCGTGTAAGTCGATACGATGATTAAGCAGAAAAACCACCAGCAGCCAGCCAAGGTTCTCGTAGATTTCGATCTGTAACGTTAATACTCGTGTGAAATTTGTCTCTTAACTCTTTGAATGAAATTTTTTACGTCTTTCTCATACAAAACTAGTGTGAAATTTGTCTCTTAACTCTTTGAATGAAATTTTTTACGTCTTTCTCATACAAAACTAGGTATATACACATACGCACGCACGCGCATCTCTATCTATCTCTATCTCTCTCTCTCTCTGTGCGTTTGCGTATTTGTGTGTGTGTGTGAAATGTGAAGAAAATAAATACTTTCTCCGTCGAGTTATTTTTTTTTTTTACGACCAAAGTAATTACACTTTTAATCTCTAAATGCATTAAAGCGATTTCGCGTTATACGAATTGACCATTTTGATAAGTTTCCTGTGAAATGTTTTTCATCATTAATTTTGTGTTTATTGAGCTGTATTTGCGTCGCGCTATCACAATTCATATTAACGCGAAAAAGACTTAGGAAATAATGTAGAACAAAATAAAAATAAAAAGTTTGAAATATTCTATATAATCGAGTTAATGTGATTGAAAGTAATGGCGATTAGAATAGTTAAAGATGCTGAAAATTCATTAATACTGTCAATAATTATCAATACTGCGCGTATAAAGCTTGTTATTTCTGGCTTAATATTGCATGACAATTATTTTTTGATATTACGCTGCCGTATGATATTCCATACATATACGAATCGCGCATAAAACTTTGCTCAAACTTTTTGGCCACTGCAGCCAATCTGGCAAACGTCAACGTATTAACAATAATCGAGATTACAGGTAATATAACGGTGGACCTTAATAATCTGCTGCTCCATCCTACACCTGGGATTCATCATTATTATCATTATTATCATTATTATCCTTCTTGCCGATATTGGAAATCGCCTCCGAGCAGCACTCCAACGAACCAGGGAGAAAGCGTCGTTTAACCTACTAAAACTAACCCTACCTAATCGTCTAATCGCCACGTTAAGTTTACCAATGGCTTATGAATCACGTGGCATTGCGCCCAATATCTACGTGGTTAATTGCAATTGTTAATTTGTATTGAATGTAAGCTGAAGCAAACTAACATGGGCGCGATCTCCGAGCCCTGCTGCATTATGGCGCCGATGGTGAACCAGAACGAATTGGTTATGGTGAATTGATTCTGCAGCTCGTTGGGCTCCTCGATGCAGGGATACGTGTTGTTCCACTCGGCAGGACTCACACGGCCCAGGACGAAGAATAGCAGCGAGACGAAAATGAAGATGAGCGCCAGGTAGATCCAGACGTAAGAGTGAAAGGTCGCGAGGAAGGAGAAGTGGGTACGCGGAGCTTTCATCGGCTTCTTGTACAAGATGCTCATCCCGAGATTCCAAAAAGCCGTGGAAAAGTCGACGCAAAGCTCACGCTCCTCGGTTATGGTCAGGTCCGTGATGGCCATTTGCATTTTCTATAATTCAGATGCAGCTTGTAAAGCTCAAGCTCGAAGAGGGAGTCTCCTACCAATGGGGCTGACTCTGATGTAAACTTCGTGCCCGAGCTCACCGATCGTTAGCTTCTTAAAGTCTTATAAACGTCGAGGAATTTTTCTTCTCTCCGTCCCCTTTTTACCAACGAGGTCGTCTCAACGATCACTCTACGAGACCTCGTTGGCCTTTAAATAATCGTCAATGATTTTACCGAGCCGATACACGAGGACAATGTCGCCCCGACAGTTTACACAAACTAACATGAAACGTGCGAAATAAATGTTAAAAAGTAAGAGTAATGTAGAATAGAATAAGGTAGGCGCGTTTCGCAGTAATATAATAATAATAAGATGATAATTATTGAATTAAATTTGACTTGAATTAAATATATATTTAACGACTCGAGAAACAGGCGAATCTTTCTTAATTGAACGCCCGTATATCGCAAAATTTGTGTAATTTATATACTGAATGTCGAACGAAGCATTGACATTTAATGCGTTTAATGTCGATCGATACGATTAATTTTATTGGCCATTCCAAGCCCCATAATAATACACTTACCCCGCTTAAGATTTTTTCCATCATACCAGTGCAAATGCACTGGCCGTTTAGGGTTTTATTGCAGACGCCATTTTGCGAATCATCCTGCACGTAAAATGTGTAATTAAAGCCAATCATTCGGCTAAGTTCCTTGATAATGTCAATGACGAAGCCTTCGTATCTATCATTGCCCTCCAAGCTCTTTGAGAAGTTCACTCTCATTGCATATGGCGGATTCTGTATAATGTACAAGCATTGCTTCAATAATGAGATAGTGATTAAAGGAAAGCGAAATGCCAATAAACAACGTATGTAAACTTCTTATTTAAGCACGTACATTCATAATGGCTCTTTCTCACTTGTCCCGAAGAGTGCCATTGCAGATCGCTATTCTAATGAATTTTTCAAATTTGTAAATCATTCGAGAGCTCCACTTCCTCGTTACGGTTAATACAACTAAATAATAAGAAGAAATACGGCAATAAAAATGCAAATGGTCCATTGCTGTATTGACGAAAAATCAAACCCCATGGATTTACGACTAAGTAATGCGTTACCTATCAATCGTGCAATTAAATTGTAAATTAAAAAAGATTTTAATTGACAAATAATGACAATAATTATCATTATAGATGATCATTCCTTAACGTGGAAGTGGAGAATTTCAAGACCTACAGACCGAGACTTATGCAATTAGTCTTAAATGCACGTGAAAATGCAGGACGAATAATAAATTAACATTGGAATGATATTTTTTATTCCAATTAAATAATGCTATTATGCTTATTTAACAGTTAGCTTATTATAATTGGTGGCAACCATTTTTACGATGTTCCACCATAGTTCAATCATAATTTGTTGCTCCATTAACGCAAATAATAAGAAAAATGTGCGTAAATAGAGTGGCACTCGTGTCTAATAAATTCGCCAAAAATTGGGATTAACCGAATCGCTAAAATGGTTTGTTTGCACTGACTTTCATTCCTGCATTACTTAGTTTATCAAGCTTATAGAGATTCTTATAGAGATTTCACGATAATTTGGTTAAAAAAAAAAAAAAAAAAATTTTAATCACATTAGATATTTCGGCGATTTGTTTATTGAAAAGCACAGCCTTTGAACCGCATTGGTATTTCACGAAATATTTTTATATACAAAATTCATTATTGAATTACAAATGCTTAAAATAGTAATAATATTTCGCTAAGAAATCAATTAAATTAAATGTATTCTATTGAAAGTTTCCCCCCCCCCGCCCCCGTAAACATGTAATTTCTTTGCTACGACGAATAACTAAATTTAAAAAATTTACTTTACCAATGTAATTAAAACATTAAAGTGCTTCGTCTTTATTTCATTGATTACGTGAAGATCATCGAATCCAGTATCCGGATTCCAAGTGCCAATTTTCGTAATCCCAGATTTATGAAAATTTAGAATATCCAACTTAAATCTCCTTCGGCGTCCATCGCTGTCGAGCATCACCGGCCCTGTTAAACCGTTTACTGTATTCTGAAAAAATATTTTCAAAATATTCAACATTAATACCACGCATATTATTTATTTACCTACCTATTTATCTATTTATCCTAAGAATAATTATCGTATATTATTATTCTCGTTGTTATATTAATTTTTAACAGTATTTACCAAATGACAATTGTACTAAGATCATAAGAGGACTCTCTGAGAAAGGATAAAGTACTCCTACGTAAAGATATAAATGACAATTTAGTTATTATCTTTAACAATGTTCATTGGATTTATTAAGCAAAGCCGAGAAATTTACTATTATTTTGAGTTCTTGAAAGACATGATAAGCAAAATAATGTTTCTAAAAATTATTTGCAAATATTCCATTTCTTAAAAGTATTCATATAAATTCATAAAAATTGTAATAATTATGTATTAATCATGAATATATCTTTAAAATAATGAACATCCGATGCCAGAACGATGATTAAGATTATGAAATTAAAATTTTCAATGAATATCTGCAAGCGACATTACAATTATCAACTTTGAAATACTAAACTTTCATCTTTGATATGATTCGTGCAAAGTTTTTATTTACATATTTACATAATGTATTTATTCAAGAATTTGGAGTAAAAATTATTAATTTCCCTAAATTAATATCATCGAAATTATAGAATAAGCCTTGTGTATTTCATATATGATTAATAATAATTATATGAAAGATATTAGAAAAATTTGCTAATTTTAAAATTTAAAATGAATACACTCGTTTACATTACAAAATCTTAACGTTCAATTGTGAATTTCATAACATTTAAAAAATTTATTATATACATATATCTCAATTTTTTCTTTTCTTTTGTTTTGCTAATCAGATTGTATTATTCAATATTAAAAACGATAGATAATTCATATATTTCTTCGTATTAATTTTAATAAACCGATAATATCACTTACATTATAAAGGTTATTCATTATAATTTTTCATCCATTTTGATCGATTTAGATTTAAAAGAATATTTTGTCGACGAGTATTAAACAGAAAGTAATATATTGAAATTAATATTTACAGACTTCCATCGGAATTTTGATATATATTTATACTATTGTACTAAAAATAAATTTAATTATTTCAACGGATAGAATATGCATTACTCTTTACACCAAACTTTATTATATATTATTGGTTTTTGAACGACTATATCTTAATTTTACATTCTTTAAATAAAAGTAATAATCGTTTCTTTACGTTAGTTGTTGATATTTTGCACAATTTTTTCGAATACATTTGATACTGCATAAGTATCCTTGATATTAAGGATGGACGTGGAAGGCATCAACAATAAAGCAACCGAGTCTGCAGAATTCGTACAAGCACACTTGCGTGCGTTTGTGCCATGAGAAAAAAAGAAAAAAAAAAGAAAAAAAAAGAAAAGAGAAAAGAAAAAAATGGTTGTTCTTGTTTTTTTTTTTTTTTTTTTTTTTTTTTTTTTTTTCTTTTTTTTTTCTTTTTTTTCATTAAATTATCGTCGAGATTGGTTTTGTGCAAAGTCAATAACAATGATTATTAATGATAAGATACGTGTAATATAAAGCAGCGGTTATATCACACTCACGTATAGGATGTAATTGCGCAAACTAAGTCCATGACGCCAAGGTTCGATGTTGGGATATTTAGATGACAATTTCTTGCCAGTTATCTCGTATTCGTAAGCGAGATCCTTATATCCTTGGGCAAAAAAGATCACGGCATCGAACATTAAAGCGTCGGACATCCGTAGCTGCTCCACCTTCTCAATCTCAAAGTCATCGAAACGACTGCTTACGAATTCTTTGACGAAAGGATTATCAGGATCCACCAGTCTTAAGCCATTTATATTCACACCTGAGAATTGATACGAACGCAAATCGAGACTTTGCAGATCCTGCGAATAGCAAATTAATTCCCTTCGTTGGTCTATTCCTCTGATATCGCAGGTCCACGGTTCATTATCAAATTTAAAACAATCGCGTCAAGTTGAATAACCAACTGCTGGCTATCACTATGATAAATTCGCAATGAGAAATAATATTAGAAAAAGCGAAACTCACCAACGACGTAATAAAGTAATGGTACGACTCTGTCATCATACCGACTTCTTGCGTTTCTTTCAATATTTGTGAGAGATGCTCGGGCGAGCAGTCGATTACAAGGCTCCTGATATTCTTTTCTTTTGCTATCAGCAATGGCTCGCTAAAATCACACGTGTTCGTATAAATAGCGACCTCGGTCATTATTTACGAAATCATTCGACATTTAAGCCGATCAAACAAATAATAATCTACCCACCTGTAGTTCGGCCCATTACCCAATCTAATAGCATAAACTGGATATGCAAATGGACCATACATTTTTAGAAGCTGATTTAAGTTCAAGAAATGATCGGTATTCTCATAGAGTATCAAAAACGATGTCCAATTAAGTCTCTCGACGACCTTTACGTACACCTAGGCATTAATTACTATAAAACTAAGTACATTGTAGTATCGTAGATGAGGGCAATTTTCGTTTAAGTATAATTTTTCATTACGATCGATCGACTAATAATGGCCAAATAATACGATTAAAATTACTTATTATCGTCACGCCGCCGATTGAAATATCCGATTGAAAGCAAAAAAATCTAATTCACTTTATTTATTGGTACCAGTTTAAAAAGATCTAGACCGCCGGGAAGAGCGAAATGTTGGTTCTCGTGTTACGAAAATCGCCAACTCCTGTGTCAGTCCCTTTCTCAAATAGCATTGTAAATGTTATAAATAAAGCCTTTACGTAAGCTACGTCTCTATTATAATCCCTAATATTGTTCGATAATCCGTTTATTAATTTTAATAGTCAGCTAATGCTGATCTCCTATCTTTGTGGTTAGCCGTTTTCGATTAGCCGAAATCATTATACATTTGCAATAAGAATTAGCAACCTACGACTGCCAAAGCTGCTCAAATAAATATAAAATTTTGTAATTGAAAAGGTGCTTCTATTTCATGAATCATCAACATTAACAACGGCTACGATCAACGATCTCATCAATGCACCTCATCTTCGATTAATCATAAAATAATAATTATAAATTAATCATAAACATAATACTAATACATTATCCTTACTGTTGACAATACTTCTTGATCTGGATAAAGGTTTATCGTCCTCGATCTGTCGTGATTCGCTTGTCGATTTATCACAATATGCGGTATATCGTGTAATTCGCACAGACCATCGATGTAACTTGCGCTAATTTTATTTTGCGGTCCAATGATCGCTGAAAGTCCATCCTCATTATTTGCCATAATTTTATTTCTATGCCCCGACAGTTCTTCAACTTCAAAATAAAGAAATAACAGAAAAAATAGCACCTAATTTGTAATAATATTTACATTGATTTTGAGATATTTTTTTTTTTTTTTTTTTTTTTTTTTTTTTTTTTTTTATTTGCAATATACCATCTTTCTCTTGCTCTTGCTCCCTTTACACCACTCGCGCGCGATAGAATTTTTAATCATACATAATTAGAAAATTTAAGGTCCGACGTCTCGTCGATAAGTATTTCACATAGAATCTCCATTATCAATGACAACATCGTCAATATTACGTGAAACGTTATATTAGAAATATATAAATAACTAAGCGCTTAACAAAAAAAAAAAAAAAAAAAAAAAAAAAAAAAAAAATTATACGATGTTTGACATGACCGTAGTAAGTAGATATAATTTCTCGTTGCGCGGGATTACATTGCATATATTGAATATCCGTAAAATTAGTCGTAAAATTTTATATCAATTGGATTTTATTATTCATGTGCTAGCGTATGGGATGATTTTATAAACTTTATTGATGTATTAATGAAATATGAAATAATTTGTGCCTCGTTATCCATACATTAAATCGCTTGTTCGGTCAGCACAACTTATAACTTTTTTTAATCATTAAGCTCAAGAATATTTCATCCAAACATATTAAAGAATGCCAATGTACTTTAAATGCCGCCTTCGTCACTATCTATGCGCATTAAAAGTAGAGAAAAAATAAATAAATAAGTGTATGGCAATGGCGTACGAACCTTTGTTAAAAACGTTATCCATATCCTCATCGAGTTCCATCACCAATGCCGCAAATTTTATAAAATGAAAAACGTCGCAGTTTATTCCGCTCCTGCACTCGCTGATCATATCGCATATTTGACGATTATAAATGCATTCGTTTATCGTCCGAATTGCGAGGGAAAAAGCCTTGCGCCTCTGAACATCCTTACCAAACAGTCCACCTGCAACGCCGCCGTCGTATTTTCATTCGTAGTCGTTAGCGTTAATTTAACGGCGAGTATTGACGAGATCGTGCAATTTCAACACTCGCCGAGGCATTAATTGCCAATTTTCTGCCACAGGGCAATCACATTTTGCCCTTAGACAATACATAAGTTTATTTGAAATTTCCCACGCTATTGTTAATAATAGCAGCGCCCTATCGACAAATGTAATAAAGGATTCTGTCGCGTAATATTTTTTACATTATGATAATGCGTAAGTCATTGTGAAGCCAACTACCGATAAGACGGCTACTGTAATAAATAATAAATAATTAAATGAAAAACGAAAATGAGGATTGACGTAGCGTTATTGATGAGATACGTTCATAATTTCATAATAAAGAAACTATCGTCTTTCGAAAATTTGTAAAATCCCTCGATGAAAAATCAGTGCCAAGTGAAAATATTTTATAAAGTATTTTAATTGATTAATTGATCTGAGCCTTATTCTCTAAGGATTTAACGCTGGCCTTTGAAAATGCCAAGCGAAGAGCTAACAATATACGATACATCGGTAATTTAAAAGGAAATATTAGTTTGTCGGAGCAGACAATCGTACCTTTTACGACTACCGAAAGCATTTAATATTACCAACTCGACATTTCGAGACTTTTCTTTTACGTTAAAGCAGTTTCTAATGTTAAAGCTATATTTATCGCTCTGACTTTTGTAACGCGAAGTATAGATGCTCTACGTCAATCAACGCCTTTAACGTATTAGTGACTCCATTTCTTAATACGTCGTAAAGACTTTTGAAGATTTTCGTCCGAGCTTTTCCCTACCCTTTAACATCCGTCTCGACCAATCTTATTATTTATGTAACGACTTTTCTCTTCGGACCCGCGCCTGTCTTTCTCTCCCTCCCGCTACGTATTTCAAAATCGCGTCCTCGTCATTTTACTCGATATTTTTAATTCATCAATTTAATCTACGGCGTTAAGCACAATTTTTCATTTTAGCTTATCATTAGTGCGGGAGAAAAGTTTGTAAGGGCTTCTATCGATCGGTTTTCAAAAGTGTCGTCATCGATTCCCTATTTATACTCGATTAAACTCAAATATTATTAAGTGTAGCTTTATTCTGTATCTGTAATCGCGGTGAACGAAATGATGTAAATACGAGTGAAACAAATTCTTTAAAAAAAAAAAATAAAAAAAAATATGCCATTTAATTTGATGATTTGGACAAGAATAGAAATTAATTTAAATCAAGCATTGCCAAAGTAATATAAGTTTCGCGTTGCTTTTCTAATCACTTTTATAAATTTTGTACCTAAAATCAAATCAAATATTCTACATCAAATAGAATTGTATTACAAGGCAAAATCATATAAATGTCATAAAGTAAGAATCATATAAAAATGCTCAAGTGCTATCGATTTCCTCTTCAATGGTTCTGATTTTCCCAAACTTGTACATGTAGTTTTTTTTTTTTTTTTTTTTTTTTTTTTTTTTTTTTTACACAATTTAAGCAAAAAATCTCGCGCTATTTTAATAAACGAGAGTGTAGTATTTTTAAATGACTTATTATCATTATTAATCAGACGTCTATTGTTACAAAAGCTAAAATTCATTTATATCGGTACAACTATTAGAAAATTGAATAATTATTAATATATGTGCATCGTTGTGTATTAGTAATCTAAAAAAAATCATGAGAATACTGACGATAATAAAGGGCTGGCATCTACACGGCTAGTCATAGTAATAAAATCGCTTCCAAAAAAAAACAAAAACCAAAGGAAATCTACCATCGAAAACTTACTCGTTTTAGCAATTTAAGCACATGACAAATGCGAAAAAGTTTATATAAAAAGGATTGTACCCGCGTGGATGGATACACGGAAAACAGCGTGGGAACATTGGCATATGGGAAGTCGACTCAATTTCTAATGTAATATCGATAATAGATGATTTGCTTAAAAAAAATAAAGAAATAACAAATTTTTAATGAAAAAAGAGTATTTTTAGATGACCATTGATTGAAAAGTATCAATAACAAAACACACAAAATTTCCAATTAAAATCATATTTAATATAACGTTAATATAATGATATTACAGCTAATTCTATTTATAAATGTGTAAATAAAAATCTAAATTTACATTAAAATGTTTTTCCAGGGATTTATCTTAAACTTATGTGATTGATTATAGTGATGTAGCATCTAGTACTATTAATATTATTTCTAATTATAGTAAAGCAATAGTATATTAGCGAATAATAATTTTTGCGGTAATTATGATAAACGCTGAAAAGAATCGTTAAAAATTACCTATTACGCATTGTGGTACTGATAATTCACTTGTTGCGCATCGTAGAATCATGGCGAAAAATAAATATTTCACTAACATTCTGCTATCATTCTGTAAAGGTATGTATACATAAGTATTAATTACTTGCCCAAACACGCATACACAAAAAAAAAAAAAAAAAACACTGACACACGCATCCACGATAAGCTGCATTAATATTGTTAATAGATTATTAATTATATTACATTATATGCTCGTAGAGGTTTTACAATTGACGCACTACTACTATCTATCAAGAATGTATTGTAATATTACAAAGCATAATGTTAATTACGATGAAACTGATACATTAGAGCTTACAATGGGTCAAGTATTTAGAAGTATTAAAATAATCGTTAAATTCTACAATTTTATGAATATTATATTAAATATATAAGTAAATAAATAAGTAATAATGAAATAATTTAGGAAATAGCAGTGGAAAGAAATATATCACAGTCGAAGCACTGCACTCAATAATGTTTAGTCAAAGTTATAATGTTGATAAAAAGATTAAAATTTATTGATAGGTAGAGCTTGAAAAATAGAAAAGAAAATTAATCGGATAGACAAAGGGAATGAATTATAAGGGATAAAATGTATAAACAAGATTGAGTTTGCTCTTTGATGAATTGGACTTGTAAGCTCCCGAAGCTTTTCTAGCCGAGCTTAGCGCGAATGCGAGCACACTCGATCGTTTAATGGATTATCTCGCAAGTGATGAGTGTTTATGCGAGTCTCTGCTAAATCCGGCGCCATTAGAAGCCAATCGGATTATGTAAAGAAAAATCATGAGAGGCGTGAAAATAATTCGTCGATTGACGTTGCTAAATCGGTCGACGCTTACTTATCGGCCTTGCCCCGTCATATTGGCCCACTGATATTTTCACGATTTTCGATGAAACATTGCATAATATAAAGGTAAGGTCCTCGTTGACAAGGTAAGATATAATCACGCTACACATTATCTGGCTCATTAAAAATATTATTTTAAAGCCAACGGATATATTAGGAAATACTACGCCCATCGTAGCATACGTATGATGAAAATTAATTTTTATTTACCATGAATTACATTATTTGCGCGACATTTTCCAACGTTTGTTTTCCATTCGTTTAACAACGATTCATAACTTTCATTAACAATCTAATCAAATACGCGATAATCGCCACTATTCATTAATTAAAACGCCCTTGTTATACTTGTCCGGTCTTTCCCTCTAATAAAATACTTTAAAGAGTTTATCTGTTATTTTTAGTAAATTCTCGTGAAATTAATTTTTCCTTCCTTTTTTATGGTTATTTACTAGCTTTTAGTCCAAGTCCAAGCTTTTACAGTACACGAGAAATACGCTTTAATCGTTCTATATGTTGATAATTTCGCAACAGTCGGTTGAAAGTAAAAAAGCAAAAACAAAAACAAAACAAAAAAACATGGGTTTTTAAAGTAAAAATGATGGGAAAAATATGAGATTTATTTTGAAATTATACCTGTCAAAACATTGCTTTTTGTCTTTTTATTCTCTTTCTCCTTCTTCTCCCTCGTCTCGCTCTTCCCGCCCCCCTGCCCCTTCTTCTTCTTTTTTTTCTTCCTCTTCTTCTTCTTCTTCTTCTTCTTCTTCTTCTTCTTCTTCTTACTCTTCTTCTTCTTCTTTTTCTTCTTCTTCTTCTTCTTCTTCTTCTTCTTCTTCTTCTTCTTCTTCTTCTTCTTCTTCTTCTTCTTCTTCTTCTTCTTCTTCTTCTTCTTCTTCTTCTTCTTCTTCTTCTTCTTCTTCTTCTTCTTCTTCTTCTTCTTCTTCTTCTTCTTCTTCTTCTTCTTCTTCTTCTTCTTCTTCTTCTTCTTCTTCTTCTTCTTCTTCTTCTTCTTCTTCTTCTTCTTCTTCTTCTTCTTCTTCTTCTTCTTCTTCTTCTTCTTCTTCTTCTTCTTCTTCTTCTTCTTCTTCTTCTTCTTCTTCTTCTTCTTCTTCTTCTTCTTCTTCTTCTTCTTCTTCTTCTTCTTCTTCTTCTTCTTCTTCTTCTTCTTCTTCTTCTTCTTCTTCTTCTTCTTCTTCTTCTTCTTCTTCTTCTTCTTCTTCTTCTTCTTCTTCTTCTTCTTCTTCTTCTTCTTCTTCTTCTTCTTCTTCTTCTTCTTCTTCTTCTTCTTCTTCTTCTTCTTCTTCTTCTTCTTCTTCTTCTTCTTCTTCTTCTTCTTCTTCTTCTTCTTCTTCTTCTTCTTCTTCTTCTTCTTCTTCTTCTTCTTCTTCTTCTTCTTCTTCTTCTTCTTCTTCTTCTTCTTCTTCTTCTTCTTCTTCTTCTTCTTCTTCTTCTTCTTCTTCTTCTTCTTCTTCTTCTTCTTCTTCTTCTTCTTCTTCTTCTTCTTCTTCTTCTTCTTCTTCTTCTTCTTCTTACTCTTCTTCTTCTTCTTTTTTCTTCCTCTTCTTCTTCTTCTTCTTCTTCCTCTTCTTCTTCCTCTTCTTCTTCCTCTTCCTCTTCTTTTTTATTCCAGAAACTTTTTGTTGGAATGTAAATGCTTAAAATTTACGTGTCACTTGACATTTGAAATAACTGATTTAATAAGTCGTAACTAACTCGTAGCCTTTAATTAAATTTATCGAACTCTTACATTAACTGAGTTTTTTTCTTTCAAAAAATTTCTTTCGACGCCTATAGTAAAATAAATAAATAGAAAAGATCGCGAGAAAATTGAG